TCGAGCTGCAATGAAGTCCCCTGTAGCGCCCAGCTGTGAGCTTAAATGTCTTCTTTCAATGCAAAGAAAACATGATGGCTACCATTGAATTTAACAGCCGTCCAGTAGGAGTAGTGGAGCCAAACAACCTAACTAGTCTTAAAATGGAGTTTGATAAGTTTCTCATCAGGATTATATAATGAGGTTGCCTGCAATAGCTGGAATCTGGACTCGGTGACTCAAGAGGTCTCTTCCAGTCCTGTGTTCCTATGTGTGCTTATTGTTGGTGCTGGGGGAGCCCATCTCTTTCTAGGGAAGCTTATTCTGTTTCTAGTGGTGGAAACATATCTGACTGTAGAAGTGATGATACAGATTTGTGAACACTTGGTTTCTGCATTGCTGAGCTTCCCCATCACCGAAAGAGATGGAACTCCTCCATCTCTCTGTAAAATGCCCTGTAGCATAAGGGATCACCTCTCTATCATCTCTGTCTTAAAGCATTTCTAACACACCAACCATTGGGCTGTCCGAGCACTGAATACGGTTAAGCACTGAATGAGGCTGTATGGCAGTTAGTGAATTCTGCTTTGGACTAGATGGTTAGTGGATGATCCTAGTGGAAGTGCAAGATTAAGATGCTGCTGGGATGTTATAGTCTATGGTCACAAATGCAGGGGCAGTGATCTCTTGCTACTGGGTGGTAGGCAAAGAGCCTCTTAGAACTCTTGGGCAACATCCTGAATTACAAAGCTAATTGTGGCAGGTCCATTTGGAGTGCGTGTAAATTACCAGGCAGGTTGCCGGTCTCTCCCTCCTGGAAGGCGGGGGCGGGGGGCACTGTTACTTGGAGGTGAACAGAGCAGTGCACTTGGGGTTTGCTGCAAGCTCACCATCATGTTTTACCTCCAATGTCCCTGCCTAGTGAGATGCCTGGCAGCGTTTGGAGACTTGCTTAGTGAGGTCCTGCTGTGCTTCTCGACTGAGATTAACAGCTACCGAGACCCAGGGCTCTTGCATTTCCAAAGCAAATTCCAGAACAGTGAAGCACATGCAACTTGGATTCTTAGACTGTGCCTGTAAGGCACAGGCCTGTTTGGGGGTCATGGAAGCCACCTGGCCCTAAGAGGCCCTTGTCAGGGGCTGCCTGGGTGTCCCAAGTGTCCAAGGCCACTCTGCCTAGTGGCTATAGTCCCCAGTATCATTGCCCAATGGCAAGAGTCAAGATCCGCTCTGCCTAGTGACTGTAGTCCCAAGGCAGGGGGCTAGGGGAACCCAGGCTCACCCTACTCCACTGGGTTCTAATGTAGACCATATCCGTGGCCTAGGGTCTGGTACCTTTATTTACACCCCCAAGTTACTTCCTATCCCTGGTATCTGTACTTCCATTGGGGTCACAGTGTCTTGGGATCTCTCCTGGCTTCCTCTCTGGAGCTCCTTCCCCTGGTGACAGCAAGTTGTCACCCTTGGCTCCTACAGTTGATGGGCTTCCAGTGACTTGGCTAAGAGGCTCAGTCCCAGCGGCCCCTGTTACCCTAGTTACCTGGTACCCTAGTACCAGCGTGTCTCACAAGCTTGGCAGTACTTAGCCTCACAACACTTCTGTGAGATAGGGCAGCCTGATCCCCATGTTATAGATGGGAACTGAAGCACAGGGAGAAGTGACTTGTCCAGGTCCACACAGGGAGTCACTGGCAGAGCTGGGAATGGAACCTAGGTTCCCCAAGTCCCAGGCTAGGGCCCAAACTACTGAACCATCTTCCTTTCCTCATCAAATGGAGTGGTAACTGCTCCTTCCTCTCCAGATGGCGCTGGCAGACTCTCCCGCTAGGGTCCCTGTTGTCAGTAAATGAGTGCCTGTGTGCTGCTCTCTCAGGGTCTGGTGGATGGTAAAGCTCTGTTGTCTTCTGGAAAATCCAGAGGGGCAGCCAGGGTGATTTGCTTTGCGAGAGGGGAGCATGGAGGCAGTGTGACAGTGGAGTGACACTCTGATCCCAGGCTAAGAGAGAGGCTGCTGTCCCAACTCTTAAGAGATGCCATCAAAGAGCAGGCCAGAGGGGACAGGATGGGCAAAGAGATGGTTAGTGCCATCCAGGAACAGGTTCCATCCTTTGCTTTGACAGATATTTTAGGGACTGCCTGCAGGTTCCTCACCCCACCGAGTGTGTTCTGAGGTCTCCGTGGGGCTGCCTTGCAGGTGCTGGAGAAGGTGAGTCTGGATCTGGAGAGGTTTGGGGCCCGTGTGGCGGCCGAGATTGACTCTCTGGGGCGTGAGTGCGAGTTGAATCCTCCTGCACTGCAGCACTATGATGCTTGGGGGCGGCGTGTGGACCACATTGTCACTTGCCCAGCCTGGAAGAGGATGAAGGAGATTGCAGCGGAGGAGGGGCTGATCGCTGAGGCCTACGAGAGGAAATACTCCATCTGGAGGTAACCATATGGGTATCAGAACCACTCCACAGTCTCAAGCATGTGCACCTTCTAGGGCCCAATCCTGTGCATGGTGCTGGGCGCCTCTTGCAGGTTAAGCTTCGAAGGTTGATGTTCAGCACATCACAGGATTGGGTCCCCTGTCTTCTCATGGGTAATAAATGCTGTATAGGCAGACTCACCCTTACCCCGCCAGAAAGAACAGCAGTGTTTCTGCCCACTGTAACACACCACCTCATTATCAATCAGTCTTCACTGCCTATAATTTTTCATAATCTTCTATCATGTCACCATGCTCCTTCATTGCTCTGGGGGCCTAACTCACCCACACACTCCAGCTTGACACACACACACACACTGCACTGGAATACTCTGACATAAAACTGGAATAACACAGGGCTGGATCTGTCTCACCGGTAATTTTGAGGAGCTCCAGCCCCAAGAGAGAGCTCTCAGTTATTACCATGCTCTAGAACTGCACTCATTGCATGCTATCTACCAGGGCACAAGCCTGGGGCTCATTTGTGTCCTCGTTCTACCAGCCTTTGGGCCAGGACTTTGGTTCCTGCTCTCTCTGTCACAAACTGGTTTGGATTGGAGACTGTTCCTCCTCTACTCGCAGAGCTGGGTAGCCCTGATACTCTCCAGTTTTTATGGCTGCACCCACTTCTCTCTCCATATTGGGAACCTTTCTCCTTGCTACAGCTGAATTGCTGTGGGGCATGTTTATCCCTGATTTCTTTTTTTGGTAGCCGTGTGCAACAGGTTGCCAAGCTGTACCTATATGCACCTTCTGCTGGCCTCTTCACCTGCCCGCTGGCCATGACTGATGGAGCAGCTAAAGTCATTGAGGTAAGAATGCAGCTAGTCACTAATCAGCACAGGCTATTTCATTGCAGGTGTCTGCATTCGTTGCAAAGGTAGCATGGCTAGGGTGGACTGGGAGATCCTCTAGGATGGACCAGTTGATTGTGACTGACCAATTGGTGACCACTGCTCTAGCTGTTACTGTAATGCAAATAATAAGTCTTCCAGCCACTTTCATTTCAAGGCCATGAGTCCCTGATTCTCCATTGCCTTGCATCTTGTTCATAGAATATCAGGATTAGAAGGGACCTCAGGAGGTCATCTAGTCCAATTCCCTGCTCAAAGCAAGACCAATCTCCAGACAGATTTTTGCCCCACATCCCTAAATGGCCCCCTCAAGGATTAGAACTCACAACCCTGGGTTTAGCAGGCCAATGCGCAAACCACTGAGCTATCCCTCCCCCCTTCAATCATTTACACTTGTGCAAAGTGGGTGCTAAATGCCATGGCAAGATCCTCAACTGGTGTAATTAGCTGAGCTCCATTGATTTTCCTGGGCTGAGGACTTGGCTGGGTTTGCACAGGTGTCTGTGCCTACACAAGGTACAGAGCAGGGGAGAATCAGGCCCTGAGCTCACCAGCATAGTTTGGCCTTTGTACAGTGAGCAAATAATCCTAAGGGCCTTGTCCTCCCTCCAGCTTGCTGTGTGCTGGTGATGTACATTGTACCCTGGTGCACAGGCTGCTGGGGAAACTCTTGGGCCAAATCTCTAGAGAGGCTGAAGTCAGGGGGAGCTGAAGGCGCTCCCCCTGACGTCAGCACCTCCCAGGACATGTCCCTGTGTAATGGAGTCTGGATCTTATTTCTGTACAATGCTACTGTCAGCCCTCTCCCATGGACACGCTGGGCCATTTCCGAGACTCTCTGCAGCAGTCACCAGACATACAGGGATTAAGGACATTGAAAGATTCCCTGCCCTGGTTGGAGTTTGCCTATTCTGACCCAGGGACAGGTTCCTGGATGACCCTCTGCAGCTTGTGAAGGCAATTGTTTCACAGTGTTTAAGGCCAGAAGGGACCATTAGATCACCTAGTCTGACCTCCTGTATGTCCCAGGCCGCCATCCCCACCCAGAGATGCCTCTATGGAGACTTTACTTAGACTAAAGCATTTCAATCCTAAATTGTGTGTCACAGTGAGAGAACGGGAGACACTGAAATGCCACCAGTGCCCGAGGCCCTGCAATGGCAGGAAATTGATTAGGTGGGATATGCCCAGGTGGTCCCAACAGGTGATCCATGTGCCATGCTGCAGAAGGAAGTGGAAAAAAACCCCAAAGCCCTTGCCAATCTCACCTAGGGAAAAACTCCTTTCCAACCTCAACTCTGGATATCAGTGTGACCTTGAGCACGTGAGCAAGACCCACCAGCCAGGCATCTGGAAATAGGATTCTCTGTACCACCTCAGAGAGCTGGGCCAGCCTGTTTGGTGTCCTGTAACTAGCTGTGGCTGATCTCTGATGCCTCAGAGGAAGGTGGAATCCTCTCCCCACCCCCTCCATGAGTGTGGTCAGTGAAATATGTAGATGGCCTTTCTGGATCTTTCTCTCATGAAATTCTTGGTTTTCTTCCCCCCACAACAGTCTCTGGGTATTTCCGGGCCCCTTGCGAAAGCTTTTGGCCACCTGACATCACGCGACCCCAAGAAGTTCTGGACCTCTGGCCAGTGGATGACGGAACGCAAAGGAGGCTCTGATGTTGGTAAGTGTCACAGGTTGAAAGTGGCTCCAGTGGAAGCGCTCTGTATGGTCGTATTTCTTTAATAACTGACAAGGCCGATAAGACCACAGTGGGCCGTGTTAACAATAACGTAAAACAATTGGGGCTGTTTTCAAAACCATGTAGTGGATTAAAACCAAGGGAAACCATGCATCTGACACCCCCTGCGCCCCCAGATGGTCTGACAATCTCTCTTGTTGCCACCAACACACAACAAAACAGATCTTTCAGGCCACTACCACACACCCACTCAGCTGTCTAGAGCCACGGCCCCTCCACAGAGAATGCCCTGCGCCCACCTCTAGAAGCTCAGCCCTGAACCCAGGCAGCAGAAGTGTTCTAGCCAGCATCTGTTGTGATGGGACAGAGAACTCTGGAAGACCCTGTTTCAAATGCTAGTCCTCTTCTCTTGTTCCCAAGCAAATGTTGGCGATATGGGGCTTTAAGGATGCAGAGAAACCTCAGTGCTGCATATTGGAGACAGAGGACTTTGGGAGGGGAGTGTTCCCCTCAGCAGATCCTGGAAGGTTAGGTGTAATTCCCTGCTGGGAGAAATGAAAGGGCCAGCTGAAGAGTGAACACTGTTGGGCGAGGCAAGACTGCAGGGCTCCTGGGTACAGAGTGCCCGTTGCCATTCTTGGTGGAATGGGAGCTGTGGTAGTGTTGCATCATTATGCCTATAAGTCAAGCTCATTCCTCTCCTATCAGTGCTGCCAGTATTTGCTGTTAACCTGGAGCAATTGGTCTGAGCTGCTAACACTCTAGCTGGGCTCCTTTTCTATGGAGGTGTGAGTATTTCACCCTGGTTGCACTTCACCCAAGGACAGTGAAGAGGATTAGTTGCTGATCCGTGTTTCATCTTGACAGAGCAGAGCAAAGAGGTGCTGCTTAAGCCACAAGCCAGAATTGCCTGTCACAGATGCTTCCCCTAAAGTCAAGATCTTGTGCTCTTTTCTTGCAGCTAGTGGCACAGAGTCAGTGGCCAGAGAGCAGCCCGATGGCACATATTGCCTCTACGGCTTTAAATGGTTTACATCAGCCACTGATTCAGACATGACGCTGACCCTGGCAAGGATCATGGATGCTCAGGGACGTGTAGAACAGGTGAGTTTCCCAGTGGAGCCCGGGAAGGTGGCAGAGAAATTGTTTTCCTCCCCTTCCATTCTTCATCACAGCCAAATACTCCTCATTCAGCCTATGTAGAACTCCCTGCAGTGAAGAGATCTCTCACATGTCCTTCTACATAGGGCTCCAGAGGCCTGTCCCTGTTCTTCTTGGAGGTGCGAGATAAGGAGGGGAAGCTGAATGGCATTGAGGTGCAAAGGCTGAAGGAGAAGCTGGGGACAAGGCAGGTGCCGACAGCTGAGCTGCTGCTGGATGGATCCAAGGCACATCGGGTATGCAAGGGGCAGCAGTGGAGAGATCAGGCAGCTCTCCCCTACTCAATGGGCTGGGCTGGCAGACACACACGGTGACACGGGGGTGGGGGTTTCAAGGCAAAAAGTCAGATTTTTCAGGTGACTGAGGCAGATTGAGATGGAGGGAAGAGTCCATTTCCACCAGCCCATTGACACACTCCGCTTCCAAAGAGATTCCTGGGGGGATTTATTCTAGCCTTTGTTCCTTGATGCTTTCAGATCTCTGCAGAGGGTCGGGGTGTGGCCTCCATTGCCAACATGTTGACCATAACTAGGATCCACAATGTCATCTCTGCAGTGGCTGGCATGAGGAGGTGAAGCCCACATGGATCTCCATGCCCCTTGGGGAGCAGCCAGGCGGACAAAGGGGCTCAGCTTTGCGTGCTGTGGTGGGGCCGTGTCTGGGAGCTAAGTGATGCAGGGAAGTGGGAGGAGAAGGTTGTTTCTATCTCACAACATCCTGGCTTTCAAACTTCCTATTTGCTGTTTTTGTTTCAAGTAGGATTTCCTAATGTTGGCTCAGCTTGTGAGCTGCTTGGGGCAGGGTCCGCCTCTTAGCTCTGTGTTTGTAAGTGCCTACCAGAGGGGGGTCCTAGGCAGTACAGCAGGGCAGATAATAATGTGCAGCAGAGCCTATGCAAGAGGCCACACTTGCTGGGCAACCTCCTGTCTTAAGAGTCGCAAAGAATGCCCCCAAATGTACGTTGTTCCCATCAATAGCTCTCCAGGTGAAGAAATGTAAATTGACAAAGCTCCATTGACTTTCCACCCGGGGAGGGCTCCCAAGTGCTCTGCTGTCAGCGGGACATGTGGCAGCTCAAGCTAGATCCTGAGCCACACTGGCTGCTGCTGGTGTTATAGCAGCGCCCCAGGGCCCCAGTCAGAGATGGACAAGCATCCGGCACAACAGGGCACCAGCCACCTATGAATACGTGGGAGCCCAGCTGGATCCAAATGGGGGGATAGTGGAGGTTCCACTCATGTCCCCACTGCTGGGGAGCGGTGGAGAGAAGACACCGCTGTCACCTCCCCCGAGTCAGGGGTGAGGTTGGGAAGGGAGGAGTGCAGGAGCACCAGGGATGAATGTGGCGTGTGCATGAAGGTGTGGGGAGCCAGCAGTGGCTCAGGGACTGGCTGTTTCTCCTACTGGTGTTGCTGGGACAGCCAGGGAGTGCAAGAGAAGGGTTTGTCCCTCCTGTCCCTCCTGGTGGGATTGGATAGGCATGTCAGCATCCACTCAGGGTAGGAGCTCAGGAGGTGGTGGGAAGATGTGAACTAGCAGGTGTGGAGGGAAAGAGCATGACAAACTTCCCAGGGACCTGAGGTATGGTCGCAGCAGAAGCTGGACTCAAGCCCTTGGCCTACCTAGAACTAATCACTGACACTTGTTCTCATTGAGGATCAGGCCAGCATCACCTGAGCAATTCTTGGCTGAGCTGGCATTGAGACTGACACGCCAGAGCCATGTTAGACCTCTCAAAGCATCTACTGGGGCTGGACTGCGGGCCAGAAACATCCTCCAGAGAGACTTTGTACTAGGATCCAGGCGCTGCCTCTCCCCATCCCTGCCATACGGCCTTGGGGAGAAGACAGCCAGCCAGAGACTCCAGTGGGCATGGGCAGAAGCCACCAAGGCAGGCACCTCTGGCCATTCCAGCTAACTCTGTAGGACCTTCGGTGACTTTCTCTGCTCTGTGCTGATTAGTTGTTTGCTCCAACCCTCCCCTTCCCTTCCCCTTCCCCTCCCCCTCCCTCACCCGCTCTTCTCTTTAGCGGCACTCCATGCCTGCCTCTTATTCTCCTCTCCCCTGCCCCCTCTCTTTCACGGCACTAACATGCCATGTGCTGCTAGTGCACGGCTCATTCGACTGGCATGTTCTGCCTCCTCCCAGCCCGCATCTGTCTGATCTGCTGAGACTTGATGCTGTTCGGGGCAGGGACTGTCCACTACTCAGTACAGTGCCTAGCACAAGGAGCCCCCCTTCTTAGTTGGGCCTTTGGCACTACCATCCTAAGCATGATTACTAAGAACAACCGGGAGCTAGGTGGTGTAATAGAGAGCCTGGAGCACTGGGCCTGGTGCCAGATTTGAGGCCTGAACCAAAGGCTGTAGGCCTGGCCTTGGCAAAAGAATAACACACTAAATATTTATGCAAATACCTTTCAGAAGGCTAGTACGGATACATCCCAATCTTGTACAAGAGCAGATGGTTTAACAGAACAATGAATAGGGATGTTGTGTCTGAGATATCAGGCACAAGGGGAGGTAACAAACGTGTCAAGAAACTGGCAGGGTGATAGGTAAGTTGTTTGTCTCAGGCTATAAATGTCAGGGTCCCTTGCCTTAACCCTTTGTATGGCCTAGGGGACAGGAGAGACTCTTGCTGCTGACTGAGCCACTCCTTGCCACAGGCACTGGTGTTAGCATACCTGTAACCATGGAGCCAGGGCGCTAGGACTGCAACTTGAGGGCAATACACCAGGCCGAGTGCCTTTGTCACCCTGTGCCTGTGCGCTCTCTTTATAAGTAACATCGAGGTCTGCTAAATTAGCAGGCTGCATGAGCTGCTAGTCCAAGGACAGATGCATTGAGCAACCTAAACAGTATTACCAAGGCAACAGCATTCCAGCCTTCAGCACTTGACAACAGGCGAGTGAGCAGGAAGAGGTTTGCTGGGGTGATGGGGAAAAGTAAGCACTGCTGCGGGTTAGCTGTCTCCTAGGCTGACTATACAGTATCACTTCCATCTGCCATGGCAGGGTTATTCTGCATCCCCGAGCTGTGAATGGCTCAAAGGGGAAGTTAGGAAATGGGTTTAATATATATGGGAATGTAAAAGCTGCAGCCACTAACCCTCCATGCCTAGGGTGACCAGACGTCCCGATTTTATCGGGACTGTCCCGATATTTGCTTCTTTGTCCCGCGTCCTGAACAATGTTTGGTCAGGACACTGGACAAATAAAAAATTTTGCCCTTCCAGAGGGACTCTCGCCCCCCCCCCTTGCTCCGCTCCCTCCATCCCCCATTGGCTCCCTCCCCAAATCCCCGCCCTGGCCCCACCTCTTCCCCAACCACGCAGCATTCCTCCTGCCTCCCAGGCTTGCAGCTGCATGGCGGCGCAAGCGGGGAGGGAGAGGGGTGGTGGCGGTGCCTGGATCCTGGAGCTGGTGAGTCAGCTCCGGCACCCTGGCACTGGGCAGGCGGGCAAAGGGAGGGAGACCGGGGGGGGAGGGGCTCAGCTCTGAGCCCCCCGCCGCACCAGAGGGCTCCTGCCCAGCCCCCGGGCCGCTGCACACCAGGGCCCGGGAGAGCAGCGCGGAGGCTGCTCCAGTCCTGCAGCCCGCGGGGCAGCACAGAGCAGGGGTGGGGCCAAATCCCCGCTGCTGCCGGTGAGCCCCGTGCCTCTCTCTCGTGCTCACGGCTTCAGCTCCTTCCCGGTGGGACGCGCCTCCCGCCCCCTGGCCGACCCTGGGCACATGCGGCGCACGTCCCGCGCCTCTCCCATTCAGCTGCGCTCCAGTGGCTCCTTCCTGGCGGGAGGGAGACTAGGCATGGGGGACGCACGCCACATATGCCCAGGGTGGGCCTTGGGCAGCGGGAGGCGCCTCCCACCGGGAAGGAGCCGCAGCCGCGAGCGGGAGGGCTCCCTGGCAGCAGCAAGGATTCGGCCCGTGCCGCCCACCCGGCCCCTGCCCGCTCCGCGCTGCCCCCGCCCGGACCCACTGCGTCCCGATATTTTATATCTCTGATCTGGTCACCCTATCCATGCCTGACTGCCCTTTCGTCCCTAGGATGATTAACCTGGCCAGAGAGTATGCCAGCAAGCGTGTCGTCTTTGGGAAGCTCATCAAGGACCATCCCTTGCACATGCAAACCATGGCCCGGCTGGAGGTAAGGCTTCCTCACACTCAACTGGCTCGCTCGCTCACTCAGACCGCAAGGCAAAGATTCACCACTGCTGCAGGGAGCTGTTAATCAGCGAGGCCACCTGCCACTGTTGTTCATAACCAGACTGGTCAGAGCTCTGTGGAGTTTTGTTACTGACACTCTCAACCCTGCTTTAGGCACAAGGCTGCCAGAACTGGCTAGTATCGATCCATGGCACATTAGACAGGGATGGGACACGTACTCCAGCAGGATTTGAGCTGAGCTGAGCAGGGATTCAGCCACTCTGCAGGAGCCTGGATTTGCTCAAACAGCAGACAGGGGCAGAGCTATTCCTCATAGAAGTACATGGATGCCCATGTAACCTAAGCGCATGTTATACCTTGCCCTTGGGCATGTAATTGAGCCTGGGACCGCTGGATCTCAAAGCATGAGCCTCAGAGGCCTGAGCTAAAAGACCCAGCTCCATTAGCCCAGGCCATAGCAGGCTCATTAACTTTGACAGGAGACCCAGGCACCAGTAGAGGTGGACAGAGCACCCGAGTGGGTTTCACCCATGTCCAAAATGGTCCCTGAATGATTTGTGGAATCCCGGGTGCAGTACATGGTGCTCTATTATTTAAATTCTATGGGGACTGTAAGCACTTCAGAGCAGTGGGTGCCTCCCACTCTATCTGTGCAGCACCTGGCACAGTGGGGCCCTGATCCTGCTCAGGCGCTCTAGGCCTGCTGTAATAGAAATAAATAATAACAATATACAGACAAACAGGACTGAGGACTATAGAAGCGAGCTGGGTGTGAATCATAGAATCATAGAATATCAGGGTTGGAAGGGACCTCAGGAGGTCATCTAGTCCAACCCCCTGCTCAAAGCCAGACCAATTCCCAACTAAATCATCCCAGCCAGGGCTTTGTCAAGCCGGGCCTTAAAAACCTCCAAGGAAGGAGACTCCACCTCCCTAGGTAATGCATTCCAGTGCTTCACCACCCTCCTAGTGAAATAGTGTTTCCTAATATCCAACCTAGACCTCCCCCACTGCAACTTGAGATCATTGCTCCTTGTTCTGTCATCTGCCACTACTGAGAACAGCCGAGCTCCATCCTCTTTTGGAACCCCCCTTCAGGTAGTTGAAGGCTGCTATCAAATCCCCCCTCATTCTTCTCTTCTGCAGACTAAACAATCCCAGTTCCCTCCGCCTCTCCTCATAAGTCATGTGCTCCAGACCCCTAATCATTTTTGTTGCCCTCCACTGGACTCTTTCCAATTTTTCCACATCCTTCTTGCAGTGTGGGGCCCAAAACTGGACACAGTAC